GCGCCCAGCTGCAGCTCCGGATTCTATGGGAGACCTTAAAACCTCTTCTGTAGTTGTACACCTCAGTTCCCTCTACTGGCGCACTCGTTTGAGCGTATAAATAAATAAATAAGTAAATAAATAAATAAATAAAAACCTGTCAACGTCCTAACGGATTTACCCAACTGTCATGAGATTGTTTAGGCATCAAATAGGGTGTGTTGACAAATGGCGCGCTATCACACACGCATGGCACGGGATTGAATCCCGGATCGATGTCCGCCTAGACTGTCCAAGCCTTCCATCACTCCGGGGTCGGATAATTGGTACCAGACATGTCTGGGAGGATAAAAGCACTGACTTGTACATCGGCTGGCCACCGCAAGTCATTGTATAGGCCACATACGCACTCATTACGCCACTACAATTCTGAATGGAAGTCGAGTGCGGGGCGCGTCCCTCAGACGGGATTGGTTAACGCCCACAGACATTATCCTTTATCCTTCATCAAGAACAACGGCCAAAGATTCAATAATACATAATCTTTACAGAGAAAACTAGATTTTGACATTTTTATTCGAGGTGGTAGACCGTAAATACTGGTAAAGACCCTTAGCAAACTATCAACCATTAAAAAACTGTTTCGTTTGGTCTGACACAGGACTGTAATGTCAGAAAGGCAATTAGGAATGATAATTTCCAGAGCAAAAATATACACTAGCGAGATCAAAACACATACAAGAAACGGCAGGACTCGGGTACGTGACGTACACGCACGCGTATGTGACATATTACAAGACAGTATTAGAATTGAACTTCGATTTCGTCTGCAAATTAAACTATTCTACATTTCAAAAAAGAAACCACCGGAGATTAAATGTGCACGTACCACGTAAGCTGGGCATGCCGCTGGATTTTTCGAAATTTTCAAATTTTTTACATTATTTTAAGCGATTAAGGTAATATCACAGAACAGATGGAGACATGGCGTCTCGGCGCGACGCGACTGCTCGCATCGTTTCACGGTTTTCTGAACCTGTCAAATTTACGTCGTATCTTCTGACACCGGAATATGTCTCCCGAGCAAAGGAAAATTTTTCAAATACAAAAGAAAATAACAGCGTAGTATACAAATTACGTCTATGTACATAAAACCCTTCAATGTTCTACTATGCTTATCGATTTTTTGACGCGACGCGCCTGCTCCTCAGCTAATCAGGAGTCTTCAGGGAATTTATGAGCTCATGCTGCTGAACCATGGCTTGAGGAGCTGCTCGATGGCATATCGAATGTGATTTGAGGTATGTCGTCAGCGGCCACATGATCAGGAATGTCTGGAGCGACACGGAACGACGACATTGTCCGTACCCGTGGACGAATCGGCACTGCACCACGCGAGTAAATGTTCGACAAAGCTTCGCGGAGCTGAAAAGCAGAGTTTTTATGGGACCATCGAAATCTGGTCAACTCACTCCCAATTTCTTTCTTTCTCCAGCTCGGTCATAGGAATTATCTATGACCGAGCTAGAGAGAAAATAGGTAAGCGCGATACCAAACCGTTACCGGCCTTTGGGTATCAGACTGACACTTTAACTTTCAAAGTCGCCCCAAGTGGGTCTTTATCGGGTGCTCCCGCCTACCCCTTATCGTAGAACCTCACCATTACCATCAACACCGCTGATTGGGACCCCTCGAAGACAGATTATTAAAGGCTGATTCATGAGCCCCAGTAGAGCCGTGCAGTTTGAAAATTTTTTGTCTCATTGCGGAGAAGCCTTACCTCCTTGAGGGCGACCACTCCAACAAGTCGGCCTCGCTCAGTGACATAGGCGTGATTCAGTGCCAATAAAGAGAACAATGTGTGGACCTGTAAAATAAGAATACTCTCGTTTAAAAATTGTTCTAAAATAATTTTATAGTAATCTAAGTCGCTCGTATGAATTTGAACTTGCCTTGTAAAGAGATGTACCCTTGACGAGTTGGAATGGTGCCGGATCTATNTGTCTCATTGCGGAGAAGCCTTACCTCCTTGAGGGCGACCACTCCAACAAGTCGGCCTCGCTCAGTGACATAGGCGTGATTCAGTGCCAATAAAGAGAACAATGTGTGGACCTGTAAAATAAGAATACTTTCGTTTAAAAATTGTTTTAAAATAATTATTGCAATAAAATAATTTTATAGCAATCTAAGTGGCTCGAATGAGTTCGACCCTACCTTGTAGAGAGATGTACCCTTGACGAGTTGGAATGGTGCCGGATCTATAGCTACATCGTCTAGATCGAGCTTCGAGGCCAGAATTTCAGCGCGTTTCGCCAGTGAGTGCTGTAAATAAGCAAGAGTATCTTATGAAGGGTGTCTTTCATGTGATTTCTGTAATACCATTTTTATTCCTTTATAACGGCTAACTCGTACAGGTTTTGAATGAAAGAATGGTCTAGTCTTCATAGTATGAAGGCTGAATATGATAATGTCTACACAATCAGCCCACTTGGGATAACTTCGCCCATACCAACAAGGAAGCCTGTTGGTATATCGTACACTGTGGAGGTCATCGCACCAGTACATTCATGGCTCAATAGAAACAGTTCAGTACTATCGATACTGGTAATGGATGATATGCATGATAGGATTGATTACAAATCTCGATCTTCACTTGTTTCCAGAGCCTAAAGGCACGGTTTACGATAAAAATGGTTCCTGAGTTCTTTCCTTAGGAATACTCAGTGGCCTCCATGGGTGGTAGAAGGGTCCCTCTCCTCCTACAATCTCGGCGCTTGGAAGCCCTGTTGCTAACGTAATTGGCTTTAACGCCCCTCGATCGATGTCACGTTAGACGAGAGTTGACACAATACAGATTGCAACTATTCGTTCTAGGACCCACACCCAATCAGCTGATCGCCGAGTGATGAGGCGATATTTTTCTCACATTCTTTTTCCTCTGTTATTCAGAAAAAGGTGGGCTATTATGCTTATAAGCGGATCAATTTTGCTCACTGTAGTCAGGTATTTGCACCAGGACCCACACGTATGCAATGACGCGCTGTGCGTAGCTCGTCCAAACGCCCCACTCTTCTTCAATCTTCTGGCATTATTCTCGTCCAGCCCCTTTTTAACGGTTTTTCGAAGCCTTTTTTACTTTGGAAACACCGATCAGTTGCTTTGCACTAGTTTCTTATCTTTCGTCATAATCTGGATTACCCAAAATTATCGTGAACTGTGCCTTTAATTTGTGGATCGCTTAGCACCACGGTCGAAGAGAAATTCTTCGACCGAATTCCGAAGACGCCCCACAACAAGACAACTATCTAGTCTATGCTCCCAAAAAATGTCGAGACAACCAGCCAAGATCAGTAGGTGGATCGGGACTTCTGTATCCCCCCTCCCTTTCCCACAGCTATCCACGAAATTCACATATGTAGGTCTCATCACTAGCGGAAAGTAGCATTAGCAGCACCATTAGCATTAAGCAGCACTATATATGCCATTAATTCGTGGAAACTTACCACAGGCGCTTCAAAACTATCATTTTGGCTGTAGAGCAATGAGGCCAGTGGTCCTCGTTCGCCTTGATTTTCATGAAGTGGCGAATGTGCCAACAATGTATTCCCACTGATATTTCGATCCGTAAGAAAACCGTGTTGACTTGTTCCATTGTGTGTTGCATTGGAATTGAAGTTGGAACCTCTCCTGAAATCAATTGGAAATCGATTATTGATCGACCAGAGAACTTCACGAGCAAAAGTACCTGAACTGTCCGATTGTGTGAAGGAGTTCCGATGCTGTTCGACTTTTTCGCTTATGCATTTGTATACCTGGCTCCGGTCCAAGATGTTTGACGAGCAGATAGCACAGATATTTCCGAGCCACACTTCCAAGCAATGTCATAGATCCTGAAAGTAACAATTTTCAGAAAAATTTATCCATTTATAAATTTTGAAATTATTTTCCGTTTGATTATTTGGTTGCGTACATGGTACTGAAAATTCTGGGGTGCGCTTCGTTGCGCGCGTCCGTCGAAACTAGGTCACGCCGCAGCCGTCGCATGCGGCGAGTCAGCCCGCGATACTTGACAGACGTCGCTTTGCGCTTGGTCCACAGCACTCAGTTCAAAGAGAAGATAACACAGACAAATGCAAACCATTCGCTCNACTGACACTTAGTGGTACTGTAATGTTATCTCGAGACCTCAGTGTGGTGCGCCGCGCGCGAAGTGGGCGGGGTGACCTACTTTCGACGGACGCGCGCAACGGACGTTCTCCGAAATTCTGGTACCTCTGAAAAGTGTCGTAGCCGGGGACTCCCACCAGGTAATACAGTAATCGTAAACAACCCAGATAATCAGTAACACTTACTTCTATCGGTTACGAATGGATACGATCGAAGATTCGGTGTTTCAAGCAGAATTTCCCGTAATTCCATATAAGTTGTATCGCGTGTGATGAACACAATATCTTTAACCATGACCTTTTCGACTTTCATCGTATGTACACTGAAATTGATCATATCACAAAGATTACATGGCAATATTGATCGATATCGATTAACTGACATTGCTAATAGGCAGAAAAATGAGGTTGAGCAGTTACCTAACACGACTGGGTGGCAAGTCCACTAAGTACGGATATCCCTGTATATTGATGATACTTTCGTAAATGGAAGGTTGAAGGAAACTGCAGATGGCATTGCCAATCATTAGGGCTATCTAAAATAGATCAATATAAATAATTAGAGGTCCAAGAAAATATTAAAAATAAGGAAAGAGTGAGGAGGAAGGTAGACCCACCGGATTTTACCCTAAACCTACAAACAGTGTGATTCAATGAAGTGCTGTCAAAAAAGGCCGTGCATATATCAGCAAATGGATGGATCGGTGAGCTACTCGGTACACGACGCGTGCGGTCGCGGCGCGGTGGAAGCGGTAACATGTTTAGGATTGCACCACAAAAATTGGAATCTATAGTCAGCTGTGATGACCTTTAGATTTGAATTTTTTCTTTTTATATCAAAATCCACATTTATTTTTGTTATTGTTTTTGAGAGTTCCATTCGATTTCAGTGAAACTTACTAGTACAGGTAGTAGAGCGCACAGTTGCCCAGTTGTCTCACACACGATCACAGCTATCGACAACGAATGCGTTACTGCACCAGTATAAGCAGCGGCACCTGAATGTAAACAGTATTCACGTGGGAAACCACGCCCATATCCGATTTTCAACTATGGGGTTGTGAGATTTTGTGGGGAAAAGCTGCCTGCAGTCGAATTTAAGGTTCATGTGGAACTGCTCCTGTTCAATAACTGACCCCATTGATTTACAGCGGGATCGGATTATGTTTGCGTGTTTATTGTGTGTGTTTGTGTTTGTTTGTGTACGTGTGTGNGACACGGTAAGAACGCGTGCGGTCGCGTTGCGTCGATCCATGTTCTTTCTATGAAATGAAAACTCACCGACTACAGCATAAAGACCCGGATAAATTTGGGGTCCTTCAGGACCACGAAACCCGTCTGGCCAATACATGATTAATACCTGGAATTATGACAGAATACTTTTTTACGCTTAATTAAAACTATGCACTTACCTCCCCGACAATTCGACCAGCACATGCTCCAATAACAAAACATGGAACGAAAATACCCGCAGGAATATAGAGCGTTACACAAATTGCAATAAGGAAATACTGAAAATAGCGAAAATATTTGAGCAGTTCTAACATTTTGGAAGGACGCCGAGTGCATGGCGTATCCCAAAAAGTTCGACCAGCGTTCAATATTCTAGAGGAACTCACATAAACAAGTAGATAAGAAAATAATGTGAGCAATGGATGGAATTCGCCGGTACCACCACCGGTCCAATGTTCGATCATCTCCGATGGGCAGCCATTACTGCTTACATTTGTTAATGAAAACGAACAATTGGCCAGAAAATCAGCCAACGTTTCCCGAAAAGTGTACTGAAATATGGAAAATTAAAGAATAAATTCAAAAAGAACTAAATAAAGGTTGTTATAGTAAGTCCTCTACTGGTCCCTGGAAAAAAGCCAAACAATTGAGATTGAATTTACCTGGCCAGCGATATACCGACCGAAACCTTCTGGATAGGTGAGAATGGCAACTACCATGGCGAAAAGGGTGGTGAAAACAATCGGACTGCAATAAATTATTCATCAAACTCCAAGATTTAATTCAACTTTTAAGCGAAGTAGATTAGCGGATAAGACACGCCTATCTCACAGCCATGCGACCCACAGATCGCCTGCCGTCAATGACTAGCCAAGCTTTCAGGTCTGGTGTCATCCTTTTATGGAAACTCTCCCGGGGTGAGTTTGGTAAGTAATGCTAATGGGTAAAATGGGGGTTAAGTGGTAGCAAATTGTTTATTCACAGCGCTGTTCGAGATGGTAACGAAAGTCAAACCCAACAACAAAATTTTGAGAGAAATCCGGTCAGGAATCGAAAATTGAAGTCCATCCAGAAGGCTAGAGACGAGGACTACTTTGCGAAATCTAAGGTAGTGGGTGAGTAATCCGCTGTGTGAAAATCCATGATCTTCAGAAGCTTATGTCTCGCTCGAAGATAGTTTGATACCCTATTATAGTACTGGCCCGGAACGTGCAACCCGGAGCGTCCGCTTGACTTCCGCTTTCAGCTTCAAAACAAATGAAAAAATGTAAATAATTATCACCTTCTCCCAAAAACAGCTCTGAAAGCACGATTCTTCTTCTTGAACAGGGAAACTCGTCGATGTAACCATATGAAACTAGCTCCCATAAGGCCACAACCGATTCTGTAAAGGTTAGTGGTTACACGATCGCCCAGGTGAAGTAGGAGTATGTACTTACCCCAGCAAAATGAAGAACGGAATCTCTTCGATAAGAAATACTTCGTTTGGGAAGTTGGTCTGATAGTATGCAGTGATTGTGCCGGCTGAAAAGGGCGACTGGAAGGATGTGGTGGACACTGGACAACGGTGTTGTGTGGTTCAACGACGCTTCAATATGCTCCTATGTAGACAGTGAATTTGAGGGAAAGGGACTCTGCGGGGGGAAGAAAAGGAAGCTTCAATTCAAAAAGGGCTTTCTGGTTCCGGTTTCTGAAAAGAGGACGAACATCGAAAGCAAAGTCCTCCAATTTTTTGACTTCATTCCATTTCCCTTTTCTGTTTCCGATTTCCGTTCTAAGGAGCAACAACTGGGAATTTCTTTCCGAGGCATTTCCTTCTAACTTCATCGGTCACCATATAATCTTGAAATCGCAGGCGAAGGTTTTGATAATGCCGACTGTTGTACTTACCAATATGTTGAGGAACGATAGCAGCGATGGCAAATCGAAAAATCAGTGCTGCACAGGTGGTGGCGAAGAATGATCGCCAATAGTTCTTCACTGCGAAGTACTTCGACGTTGATTCGATACCGTAGAGTACAGCTGAAACGGTAAACATCAGGTTCCATTCTTCTCTGAGAAATAAAATTGGTCAGAAGGCAGAGGTGTTCCCTGTTCACGGATCTTTTCGAGGTTTCAGTGGCTACCTCTATGAGTGCACTAACCTCCTGCTGGTGCAGAGAATGTGCAGGCGATTCCGACGGCGCAACCACTGCTGAGCATCTCCATCTGACGGCCCTCATTCGAGAAGAACGCATTGTATTGACAGGCAGAAGTAGCTTTGTTCAGGAGCGATGCTACGATGGCTCCCATGTGTACGAACGGTCCCTGAATCAGAAGAGGAGGTAATAAATGGCACGAAAGAGCAAAAGAATGTTACAAAACTCAAACAGCAGGGTACAGTGTGCAAAGCTGTCTTAGGGATGGGAGTGTACGCAGGGGAGCCCCAAAAGGACAGAAAATCCTAGTAATAAGACTAAAAGGAGTTATACCGGGCACACCTACCCCAATTGAAAGGAGAGTTTCATTACATTGGCTTACTATTAAAGTTTGATTTCATGAGATTGGCCAAGCGGCTTTACATGTACATATCGCGAGCAGATAACACCTACGTACTCGAGGAGCGATTCTCTAAGGGAGGTTTCAGTAGCAGTAATAGATCCCCTCCGACTGATCTGTTATATGGAGCATAAGCGGATCGGATCTGTTCCCTAAGCCTCTCACAAAAAAAACACTAGCCGCTTCCCAGTAATCTCGACCCCGCTCAGCCCCAGATAGCACCTGCCGATAGCCTTATTTCAGGAGTGGTACTATTTCTGTACTCGAAGAGCTGCCTGAATTGTACGAATGAAAGAAAAAACAAAAAGAAACAAATAGAAAAAGAAGGATCTCACCTCTTTCCCGACGGGCATTCCTGAACCGAGCGTCAACGTCAAGCCGATGACTTTTGCTGTCAAGGTCTTCAGCGATAGGTAGTTCTTCAAAACAAACCCATGCATTATCACTTTTAGTTCAGGAATACCGGAACCTGAAAAGACGATCGATTATTGATCGGTGAGATCTTTTGCACAGTACAGTTTTGCTAATGACGCAACAATGTAGAAGTATTTTTTCTGATTTATCGCTATCTCTGCCGTACCTCAGTATGACCTGCGCAGAGAATCTCTCGTAGACCTTGACAAAATCGGATCTAATGACACACACGTGACGTTTTCTCCTCTATTCAGTAGTAACAACTCGAAAGGAAGTTTATTCGCCACTGATGTCCAGTGAAAAGTTTCCCTTGTGATTGTAGACACATGAAAGGGCTCCGCTAGCCACTTCGTGATAAATTCTTGCATACCAAGGTCACACAAATCATGTGTGATACGCATGCTACCGCTGATTACTGCTGCTGCCTGTCTCCCCTCCATTTCCCATTTCAGTCTGCTGCCATAACAAATACTAGCCTCTCCTCAAAGCACGTCGTGAAGGGACATAAAAAATTAAGCATCGACTTCTCTGAAAGATATGGAGGACCACAAACTTTGGACGACTTTTACGGGCAGTTTCAGTAGTTTTCCCTAATCAGTACTGATTTACATATTTACAGTAGTTGGCGTTAGAAGGAGGCTCTCTGGAGTCCTCGGTTTGGTATCTGTAATGAAAAGCTGTGTGTTCCTCATCGGAACACAAAGCGGATCCTAAACTGCTTCCCATATAACCCATTCGGAACCCTCGTTTAAATTGGCCAATGGCTTCAGTTAGGCTACTTATTCAGACGGGGGAAAAAAGAAGAAGTGTGTTCCTAGTTCACAGAGACGAATGGAAGAGCATTTCTCATCGCTCCCCATGCGAACCCTTAGTTTTTAATTTCCAAGCGGATATGTTCTGACAGAAAGTAAAAATCCTTCAGCCAAAATCCTGATGCGGTCGCTCCCAAGTTAGTCATGACCTATGTATTGAAGCGTACTCTAGTAAGTAATATTCAGGAGTAACTGGTGAGCTTCTTGAGTAGAATTTCAATTAATCCAAGATATTCCCCATACTATCAGAGCAATATAAGTTTTTCGTACCTATAATGGGTAGCGAAACACCGGGTAATTCAACCTTCCGGTCTACATCCAATTGGGGGAATCGATGTAATGTTCAAAGTCCACTCCAATCGAACGACAAACCTTGGTCGGGTCATTTTCATCATTAATCATTACTACGAACCGGAAGTACCATGCATAGTTTAGCTATAACCGTAGATAAGGGGAGTATTCATTGGTTTAGTTTGACGTCTCACCAGACATCGAGTCTCCAGAGATCTCAAGGGTCAGTTCAACCGCTTCCAGAGATGTGATCATGAGGTTCTGGCCTTTTCTTCAGAGCAGCTTTTATCAACTTGATGCTGTTATATGGATGATTTTCGAACCATTCGCTCTCTACCAGACCCCGATACTTTGCAAAGGTGTGGAAGGCATGGCCCATCCACCTCGTGTATACGCCAGAGGTTGACAAAAGGTGTTTTTCTCTTGCTATGCTTTTTTTTTAGACCTACCCTATGGTAACGGATTTCTTTCTAAGTAGTAAATCGATCCTAGTTAAGATTCCAGAACCATCGTAAACTTACCAACAGCTTGCTTCCCGAGTGCATGGCATACAAGTGCAGCACAGGTGACAAGCACCGTAGCGAAAAGGATCCACATGGCGAATCCCAAATAGGCGTGATGACCATTTGTCAATTCGTAGAGATGACGACGATCTTAAACATCTATGATTAATCACCCATCTGGGTGAAAAAAATGAACAGAGTTCTCAAAAAAATCCTATTATATTGGATGGAAACTCCCCCGAAACCCTACTTTTCCAATGAGAATGCGAATTTGTAAAGCATCAGTATAAAACAAGAAGTATAGAAGCAACAACAACTACAAAACTATAAGAAATATTAAAAATATGACTTGGTAAGTTTTACGGCACGAAAAAGTTGTCTTTCTTCCATTCCCTAAATGTTTTTCTCCTTTCCTCTGAATCGATATTCGCCCAAGCTAACCAGGCCTTCCATCCCTCTGGGGTCAGTTATTTGGTACCAGACCCGTCTGGGAGGATAAAAGCACTGATTTGTGCAGCGGCTGGCCACCCTCTAGTCATTGTATAGGCCACATACGCATTCATTACGCTACTGATTCTGAATAGAAGCCGAATGCATGGGTGTATCAATCAGACGGGACCGATCAACGCGCCGAGACTTTATCCTTTATCCTATATTTTTTCTCTGAAGTCTTCTAGTTGGCTTGAATTGGCGTAAGAGGATGAAGGAGATCTACATCTGTTGAGCTCTGTTTGTCGATCATATGACATTTGATTGGTTCTACGATTTCACAGGAGAGTTGAGTGCATGGCGTGTCCCGAAGAAGACTTGTTCAATGTCATTTCTTTGATTTTTTGCATAGTTACTGCCCAAGAATTCAAGAGGATAGTGCGAAATAAGAAAATCCCTCTAAAATTTGGTCATGCAATCGATAATGTTCCCATTAACACGATCGCCCCTACGACGATCACACAATCACCCACATCGCCCGTACATCACCACTTCCGGCGTAGAAAACAGGACGGTACGACGCAAGCGAGTGTTTTGATGGGCGAAGACTAATCGCTTCTGGCATCTTACGGCTGAAGCTATTTTTGGAACAAACGTTTACTTATTTGGCAGATGTAGGGCTGGCACTGTACGTCCTTACAAGTCTTCTCAAAGAATCTTACTTAAACCATCTCAGAATACTCTAGAATGACATTACCAAAGAGACCTCTCAAACTCAAAGACAGAAGAGCAGGTGCAACTTAAATCGCTCCAGAAGCCCTGGGAGAATTTTTGCGCTTCTTCTGCAATCCCATGATAGGAAAGGTTCTCGTTGGAAAGTGAGGTGCGCTATTCATAGGACTACCTTGTAGCATGGGAGGATGTGGCAATAGGGGCAATTGGCACACTACCACCCACGTTTGCTCCTGGACCAAACCAAGTATCAACAACCGCCAGGAATAATCGAGCCTTTTACGGGTAGGACCGAAGTTGTCTGGGAGTCAAATGCGGGAGCGTATCATGAAAACGGGGTTGATTAACTCCGACGATGACGACTATCCAGTATCTTCCCATCAGATTTTTGAAACCGATAGGGATTACTCGTGATGGGATCCTCCCATGGTCATCCGACCCAACTCCCTCTCTGAAGACCAAAATTTCGATTTGGGAAAATATCTGGCGCTTCTCCTGTCGTGTGGACCAAAGTAGACATCTTGATAAAATCGCGTAACATTAAGCAATCGCCCACTTTCAACTATTCGAGGACTTTTTGGTTCATTCCAGCGCGATTCCAAAGAAACAAAGACCGACGTTAGAGACGCAGAAAACGTGAGTGTTGTCCATTTTTCATGATCGTTTTTGTTGGAATGAGAAACGCGCATACCTGTCACTTGATCTCGTGTCAGTGACATTGACCTTCTGCCTTTCAAGGTTTAATGAAGAACCGGTTCCCTGTAGGTGGTCCAGCCGCCGCTTGTGGATGTCTCGGACATTAATTAGTAAAGCGATAAAACCAATGGAACCGAGCGTCTCCGTCTATTTTATCTATTCGGCATAAGCCTGGCAGTAACCTTTCCTTCTAAGTTGTAGAGACATTTGATTGTAGGAATCGCCCAAGCTTTCTACCTACATATATCTGTGGCTTCAGGTATATCAATACTGGGTACTCCAAGTGATATTAGACGAGTATAGCCAAACTACGTAGTTTTACAAAGGTTCTACTATAACAGAACTTACAATGAAGTATGTATTCTATGGCAACATCAGTTGAGATCGACAATATTGCTGTGATAATGCCGAGCATCGCCGACAAAAACCAATCTTCCACGAAGAAATGCACCACATTACGGTATTGTCCTGAACAGAAAATATTTACTTTGGACGTAAGGACAGTAACAAGTACCGTAACCCCAAAAAAAGATAAAAACAATCTCAGAATTCAGCCGTTGAGTAGATGCTACTTCTTGTAGAGCGATAAGGGATTGGCAGTTTTCCAAAGTTAGCTCGCCTCATAATACCCCTTTTCCTAAACGATCAGTAGCCCGGGTAAAGTAGAACAGGTGAAAATTTTTAGGACCGGTTGTTCCCCTTCCTAGATCATATTGTGGGTACATGAAACTCAGGTGGGTTCATAATGACTTTATTTTTTGCTCTTTCATTTATCAAAGCTCCAGAAAGTATTGAGGGGTAAATCTCTATCAGATGAGGTCTGATTGATTGTACTGGGTTCTCACAGAAAAATCTGACTCTTGAAAATAACAAAAAATACTCAAAATAAGAGTGCTAGGGATATGGGCCCACTTAATTAATAAATCACAAATTAAGACTGTACCCGGAGCCTTATCGGGAGTTTTCGCAACAAATCGAAGTTGTCTAAGGCGTCTGTCGATGGACGCTCTGGAATCAAAGACGTCGTCGAAGACTGTTGCCATCAAATATAACGTCTAGCCAAGTTATCGCCTCCTCATGTGGAGGCAACATAAGAAAAGCCGATTCTTCGCGTCACTCATGCCACCCCTCACTTGGCGATTACCATAATCCGACAATGATTAATTTGTTTAATCAGAAAAACTGCATAGTTAGATGGATAATCGATGGGTTGCGGGGTTGCTGCGGGGGATTAAAACTGCTGCTGGGGTTCCTTATCGATAGCAGGTTGTTAAGCTGTCAGGTATGTTCTTTGAGCGAAAGCCATTACAGCCTAAAGACTTGGAAGGTACTTACTTTCACCTCTGAGATCTTCATTTGAAGTGGGCTAGTGTCACTCGGCGCCGTTACCATGAACACGAATACGGAGTTTAATTCCTGGGTAAATATTAGCCAAGGCAGACTACTTACTCCTTCCTTTTCGGGTCGGACTATGGAGATTGGACTTATCTGGTACATCCACTGACCTTCCGTAATGGATTGAATGGGCCGAACACACATTCTAACCTCTATCATCTTGGAAGGGGGTCGAATTCACGGCTCATCCTAAGCCCCTTTTCCTACAATTCTTTCAGCAGCACAGTTTCATAATGTTTCCATACATCTTCCCTCTTGTCAGCGACACTGTCGACAGTAGTTAGTCCATCTCAACATTGATGTCTGCATATTCATGCCAGTGCCGTGATAGACAGTAACCGGTTACCGTTTCCGGGCTATTATTAGCGGGTTTCCCGAGTATAACCGATGATACGATAGCCATCGATTGATGATAACTTTGCAATGAAGAGGAAGATATGGA